TACCTTTGTTTTATGGCAACGATTTTTTATATTAGTCATTGCACATTGTTTATAAAATTGTTCTAACTTAACTTATGTGTTCTTCCAGAGCGTCGATGGCTCAGGGGTTTAAGCACTTGACTTGTAATCTGCAGGTCCTGGGTTCGAATCCCGCCATGTACCAATGTGTTTTTCGATTTCAGATTTACATATGTACATTTATCCGATGTTCTTACGGTGAAGGAAAACATGGTGATGCAATCTACACATATTTGTGAAGAAAACTTAAAGATATGTGTGAAGTCAACCATACCCACTAAACCTTCTGTTCCTCCAACGCATCGGGACGGGACCACGGGCTCGCTTTCGCTCTCGTCCGCGGCGTGTGAAGTCAACCAACCCGCGTTGTTTACTATGGCCTAGTCACCCTAACTTAGGCTAGGCTCCGAGCCCCTCGGTGGGGACGTGTAGTGAGCTGATGATGCTGTGTTCTTCCAGGATATGTTCTTCATCTATGCCAAATTTCAACTAAATCTGTTTAGCTATTCGGAAGATACCTTGTAACAAACATTCATCGATCCAAACATTCGCATTTATAATATTAGTATGATTTCAACGTTAAAAAATTTCACCGCACCCGTGTAGATAAGGAGCGTGGGGGGAACAGAGGTAGACTTATGACAACCCTCGTCAAATGTTCAACTGTCGCTGTACAACAGATACGAGGAAAACGTTTTACTTCGCATATATTTTATAACTTACAATTTCAACCTTGTCTAGTAAAGTACAATGTTGAAAACATTTTAGATACACTTAACCTACAAATATTGGTACCTTGTAACCGATTATCACCCTTAACTTAGGGTAGGCTCCGGGCCCTTCGGTGGGGACATATAGTGAGCTGATGATGATGATGATGATGATAAATAACACATATTGTCTCTTTTCCTAATTCTACATTTGTGATTTGAACGTTGCTAGCCGAAATTTTGCATAGATGTCCAATATAATTTGTTTTTTAATTCCACACGGACAGAGTCGCGGGCAAATACTAATCTGTTATACTTTTTACTCTAATTAATTTTATCCCGAAAATAAGATAACTCTAGTTTTTAAATTATGTGTTTTATTTAACGTAGGCTTTGTCAGTACAGTATAGTCACACACAAAACTTTTAAGTGATAAATTAAATTGAAATGCATTTATGCGAAAAAAATGCGTTCAGATGTAGGGCCTATAGTTTGATAAGTCACGTACAATCGTGCACTAAATTCCTTCGTTCTAAAGATTCTATGAAAGCTCCGTGTCTACGTGATGTCAGACGACCCTATTATGTTCTACCTTTATTAGGTCACACTGTCAATAGTGCGAACGCCTGCAAATCGATCATCTGACGTAAAGAGTTACATCTCATATATGTATAGTAAGTTTCATAAGAGATGTAACTCTATTCGTTGCATTAGTCAATTTTCTAAAAGAAGCAGATAGGATTTAACTTAATAACAAATGTTTCTAGCATATTCATTGGCTTTTGTTATTCAATACCAATCGTTTGTGCTTCATTAAAACCGGTACCGCTTCACTGGATCTTGTAATGAATCTCGAGCTATATACTTTCGTTATTTTATTTAACAAAATCAGAAAGAAATGGAAACAGACTCATTCTACAATTTTACTATAAGTTCTTTATAAAAACAATATACACAACTTCACTGGATTTCGTAACGAAGTATTGTGTTACTTTAGTTTACTAACCGTGGGTTTCTGAGTCCAAAACCTCTATTTGCAACATAACGTCATCCCTGTCTTTTACTTGTAACAAAACAGAGATAATATTTTGAAATGGGGTATTTTGTCTTAAAAACGCGCAGTAAATGGTTTAGATATTAATTAATATTTTTTTTTATATCATAAGGTGGCAAACAGGCGAGCGGCCACCTGAAATCGCTGAAATAGCGAAGTAACTGTTGCCCATAGACATATGCAATTGCATATGCGTAGCCAGCCTACCTTTAATCGACGGAGGAGAGGATGCACAGAAAGAAAATATTTTCCCTTCCCATCCATCCTCTCATCCGGAAAGTACACTTCCACTTCCATCCTTTCCTTATAAGGAAAAGGGTGGGAAGGGAAAGAGGGCTAAATTAGGCCTCCGGGACGCACGCTCATCAGACGAAACGCGGAATTGCTTCCACTTCACGCCTATCTTCTGTGTGGTCGTGGTATTTCACCGGGCGAGCCGGGCCAATTCGTGCGAAGATGTTAAAGCGGGCTCTACCACTAAATAAAACAATTAATTTATAAAGCTTCTTTATTTAACGTCATGTTTTGCAAAATAGACAAATATACATTATGCTATTTCACATAAAACTCCGGATCAACATTAACAAGTTACCTGATATTATGTCTTACACGCACTGTCTTCATAAATCTACAAATTAAAATAATTATAATACAAAAAGTGTAAAAGTTTACCTTTCATATGGCCGTTAAACATGAGACCTCGATCAATATCAAATAGTATATTAAAGGTAATAAATCTTTGTACAGCATGTACAGTCAGCTTCATAAATAAGTATACATTTACAAAACTTAATACTTGCATACACTTTCGGTTCCGAAAATTTGTATACACGCATCCTTACGTATGCTTTCTATTATGATTGCATGTTGTTGACGAATTCGTGCATACGTGTTTTTGAAATTGAAGATCTACTGTACAAATTTCGAAAGTTAAGTTCATACATATTTGTGCAGTTAAGTGTACAGGTGAGTCACGAATGATCAAAAACAACCCATTCAACGCAAGTCTCATGTTATTGCGACTTCATTATATTTAAACGAACATATTTAGGATCAATTTTAAAACATCACTTTACGAATCTAATTATTGTCTTGAAATAATTCTTAATTTTGAATTATTACCAAAAAGTCGCCCATTTTTAATTTACAAAGGATAATAAAGTCAAAGTAAATCTATATACTACTTGTGGATTGCGACATGAGACTAGTTCAATGACGTCATAGAAACAAAGAACGTGAGACCATTAACGTTATCTATACATTTTCTAAACAAATCGCGACAATAGCGCGTCTCTCATTGGGCCAGATAACTTTTTCTAAATATATTCATTCAAAATTGTCGTATAACATTACGTACATAATTTAGAAGCAGTCTTATATATTATTTATTCATCAAACCCATAATTATATTCGTTAAAATAAAAGAAAGTATCTTTAGTTAAATAACGTATATTAAAAAATAATATTTTAACATTAACTTAGAAAACAGTAAAAGTAATAAGGAATAAATTAATAATTTATATTAATATTCATAACATTTTATTAGTTACATAATTATGACTAGCATTTACATAAGGAAACCAGGTGCACCATGTTCTTCTATACCTATATACTATGGCACTAAGTCTGAAGTATATAAAATTATTATTTCCTTTTCTTAAGCCATGTGCTTAGTTTACATTAGAACCATTTACATTGGTCGACATCTTAGTATATAAAAATATGCTTTCTTATGCTAAACATTCAATACATTTTTATTACTTTATTTATTATGTTTAGATAGATAGGTTGAGCGTGGAACCTGTAGTAGTATGAACTGTGTGACAGGCACCCACGGCGGCACAGGATTTGCTACTCATTCAGAATAACATAAGACCATAGTTAATGATATCATAGCAGAGTACTTGTACCGTTATCGCATACAGTCAACTACATAAATATGTAATCATTTACAAAGCTTTAGAAACTTGTATACGCTTTTGGTTTTAAAAATACTTATGCACGAATCAGTCTATATGCTTGGGTCTATGAGTCATGTACTCATTCATTTCTACATATTCTTGATGAATACGTGCATAATAATTTTGAAACTTTCGACACCCTATACAATTTTGTAAAGTTTTTAAATGTATACATGTTTATGCAGCTGACTGTACAAAAAGCTCACATTATATAGTCGGTTTACACTGCCAAAACGGATATACAAAATCATTCTTTATTTATTCTTTTTTTTATTCACGCTCGATTTGACCTTAACCTCGTTGTCATTTGATGTAAAGACGTCTTCTCTACGAAGGCAACAGTGTGGCCACCATAGCGTCAAACAATAACAATTTCTTGTGTACAGGTGTCATAGCAGTGGAAACCGTCGGTAAAACAAAACACTAACAATACATTAGTACAATTATAGACTAACAAATTGCTTTTGCTGATCTCGGCTTTTGATTAATTAGTTTGTTTTGATCGCGTTAATTATAACTTGATGATTTATTAAGCGTACGTAACATTTTTTAATTAAAACTCTTTCAAGTGCTGTATATGAAGACATCTTTTACATTTTTACTATTAGTTATAATAGGAAATATAGACGCTAAATAAAGAATAATAATTGTTTAAAAAAAAACAATTGAATTAATAATAATAATCGTGAAAATTAATGTTAACTTAATTTTGAAATACTTAACTTAAAATCAAAAAATAAAGAGCTAAGTATGTATTTAACTTTTACTAAGAGATTTTAACAAGTGCATAGAAATTATCAGTAACGAAAAACTTTGTTATTTATAATACTAGTGAACATAAACTGTCGATTTGCGCAATAAATAGCAAGGCATCTTTTATCATGAAGTATTTACAGTGTAAATAATAAGGCGCTATCACAGGAATAATCATTGCGAAGGAATTTTACACCCGATTTACACTTGATATTATGAAGTACACTTATTCGTGATTACACTTTACACTTTTGTTTCCTACACATTACATTGTTTTATTAGTTATCTTAGTTATCTTTTAAAAATATAGAGTTCTTTATAAAATAAGAAAAAAATTGTTTAATAAGTTATAATTAAATTTTCCATGCATTGTTTAGAATTATAATGAAGCTAAATATCTCAACTTTATAAAAAAAAAAATATTAACAGAAAAAAAATAAAGATTCAAACATTACAATTAAAACTAAATTTAAATGTATAAAAATAAATAAATTTCAATTGCCTTAAATATTATTTACATACATTATACAGTAATAACTATAAAGTTCGATAGTTTAACCATAACTAAAACGATCTCGCGCAATGTATGTAATACTGTTAACTCTATCAGTCTCTCGCTATACACACGATACTCTGTACACTATTTGCGACACTGGCAAACTTTTTCTGACACTTTTCGACATTTAACTATGTTTTCCAAGTCTTGCCTACACTTGCCAAAGTTTGCCAATTCTTGCCGACACTTGTCAAAGTTTGCCAACTCTTGCGAACACTAACTGCAGCTCTATACATAATCTCTTCTACCGGAGCCACAGTCTATGCTGTTTCGTTCACTAACCACGAACACCTCGGAGCCGTTCTTTTTTCTTCTACACGATTCACACAGCTTTGACAACTGTTGGAAAAAATAGAATTTTTTCAAAAATAGATATCACGGAATGGCAATTAATTTATTACTGGTTTTAAAATTGTACTCATAGACATACTTTTTAATTTTGTACATTTCAAATAATTCTGCTTATATTTAGGATTTTAGGAATCAATTTCAATATTTTATAATCAAGTTCCGATTTTCCGATTTTCTCACATCGAATTCTGTAACTAAATTTTATGAATTACATATTCTATAATATATAATATCTCACCTTAACATAAGACCGTACTGGTTGCTGTAAGACGTATATAGAGAAGATGACAACTCCTTGCAGAGCGTTTATGAGGTCAAAGAGCGACCAGACGGAGACAGCTGCGGATCCGGCGCCGGCCGCCCACGACACCACTTCCAGCACCCAAGACAGGCCCATTATGACCGACAGGATGCAACACGTCCGAAAACTAACAACAAAATTCTAAAATTGCATTTGTTTTAACATGGTAATGAAAATCTCAATTCACATTTTAACCATTCCAATTGGGACTAAGCTGATATAAATTAAACAATGAAAGCGACGAAGATGAATTTTCTTATTTTTAATATGATAGTTCTCTTTCTAAAAATGATGTCGAATAGATAATGCCTTGTAGTTTTTGGAGCTTTTAAAAACGGTCAAAAAAAATAAAAGTTTTTACCAAGGTTTGCCTTGTCGACACTTGTCAAAGTTTAACCGGCATCTGTAAGGACTTTTACCATTCAGATCGATGAAGTACTCAAGGAAGGCGCTAATAAGAGCACTCGATAGCGACATTCATGTATGGGTAGATTTGTGAATGTAGAAGAAACGAGAGAGGTGTTCAGAACCGCGAGATGGAGGTCCGTGGTCCCTGTCTACCCGACGACACGACTCACGACATCCTGATGATTTCAGGAAATCATCAGGATGTCGTGAGTTATGTTCTTGTTGTTTAAAGCTTTTCAATACTAACATCTTCTTATACTTCTTGAGGCGTTGATTGAAGTTGTTATTGTTTTGTGGCGAGGCGGCGCGTTCGTGCGCAGGCAGCTGCTCTCCCAACACCGTGCCCAGTCTCACCCAGTCCTCTGTACTGTTGTATGAAGGTGCTAAATCTAGCGCTGTGACAAAAAATCACATCAGGATCTCATTCATTTTGTAAACAAAGCGAAACACATTAACGGCACCCAGATACGGTTTGGATTTCCCTTTCTATATTATATAGGGTGTCCCAAAAGGTTACGCACATAGGAAGGGGGATGATAGGGGTGGTCACAAGGGTCACCAGAAAAATAAAATAAAAATTCCCCTCTGGGTATTAAAAAAAATAAATGGCATTTTTTAAAAACTTAAAAATTTTACACCTTTTATGCCTTTATGCCTAGCTAAATTATATAAGAAAATGAATTTACATTTTGAAGGTTTTTGATTGACTCAAATCATGACAAGTAACTCTGTGATCTACTTAATGTTCTACTATCACATCGATTTCCATGATTCATTTTTCTTTATGAAAGAAAAGAAATGATTTAAGTATTACTGCAAATTTATTCTTTAAAATCAATGGTACCAAAATTCCGATGCGTCAACACTGTCTACTTATAAGACGCAAGCTTTAATTTATGACTTCATACAAACCATATGTGATTAATCGATTCACAAAAAATGTTTTAATCAAGTTGCTATCATCATTTTAAATGCACGCATAAAAACGAATAGCCTTAAATTTTACGACATCATTCGAAGACATAATGCGGCTGGAAATTTTACATATTGTTAATTAAGACAAAGTACAAGGAATACAAAAATTCAATATTATTAAGACAGAAATTAAAAATAATAATGTAAAGGTTGGCAAATAATCGAAAAACTGCGTACTACGTAAAAATTAAAAAAAAATAGATATACTTACGAGTAACGTCCTTTAGTTTGTCATAGTGCGTTGCGAATGCACGTGATGTAAGGAAGAAAATGACGAGATTACTGAGAAGAATAACAGCAACAGGACCGTAGAAATACGGCAGTGCCGCTTGGTCCGCTGTGATAAAAAAAAACTTATTAAAAAAGAATAAAATATCTTCTTATTTAAGGAAAACATCGTGATGCAACCTACACATAACTGCGAAATTAAAAGATGTGTGTAAAGTTAACCAACCCGCACTTGGCCAGCATGGTTAACAATGGCCTGGTCAGCCCTAATTTAGGGTAGGTTCCGAGGACCACAGTGGGGATGTATAGTGAATTGACCTTAAGCGATTTGTTGTCTAAGTTAAAAATCATAAAAACAATGTGTTATGGTATAGAAAAGAGATATACTTACTTTTAAACCAACATCCTTTTACACCGAAATTAGGCTTAAGATAAGTACTGGGCACAGCTGGCGACAAGTCCATTGTAACTGTGACCACTAAGAGAATTACAGGCAATAGTATTGCATACACGCAATACCACGCAAATCTTCGACGCATACTTTTTCTACTAACCGATGAGTTTATGTATCGCCTAAAATAATAAAATTCACGTTAAAAATTCTTCTCAATTTGTGGTCTATAATTCTTTATGAAGATTTTGTTAGTGGAAATTAAAAAAATCATCTGACTTACCTAACGTTTAAAAAAGTATCAAAACACATGACGTTCAACCAAAAGAAACAGGATACGAATGATAGTTGTATTGAATACGCTGTAAAAAATCGAATATGAATAAATTAATTAACTTAAATTTACTCTTCCAGATGAGGCATTTGTTATCTCGATTTGTCGATTCCTCAATCACAAATAATATTAAGGATCATTATGTAACCTATTACTTTTAATCTGTTAAGACGTGCTACTATATTAAAAACAAATAAGTATATAATATTAAAATTCATACCCATTATCGTGCAAATGGTCTTCGGGAATGCATGTCCAGCTAGCTGTGTCGCCGCCAGACAAGAAAAGGCAATAGCAAGACACGTAGCGTGGCAGGCCAGAGCCTTGCCATGCGTATCCCTTAGTTCCTTTATAAGTATATATACACACGCTGTAGCTAGGAGGAACGGTACTGATATTATTAAACCTGGAAAAAAACGACTATTTTGATTTCCATACAGTAATCTACAAAAAAAAATCGGTCTGATTGGACTGGTAAATGTCCCATCTGATAATTAGCACAAACTATTGGTATCCAAGCTTATGAGACCTAATATCAATAATTTTTTGTGTCATATTATACGTTGAAGATTTAGGGACTCTAAACTTTCTAAATTACAACGTCCTTTCAAATCCCATAGCCATTTATGGCCCATTCATCACCGCTACCGATCCTTACGACACTCTGGGGAAGTACTGTTGACATATTTGAAATTCTGTCTGCAAGTTACCAAACTGTATTACCTGTGGCATAAATTATAAGAGTGACAGAAGTCTTAGCCTCTTCGAAAGGTGTACGGAAACAAACTAATGGTAATGTAACTCCTGCAGGATTTGATTCGTTCCAGAAAGTTTCCATGCAATAATCTCTCGTTCCCAGTAAATGTGGTTCGCTAAACGGCACAAACAGAGAACCGTTAACTAGTAAATAGAATTCATCTTCGCTTATTTTCTCGGGATCCAATTTGTATCTGGAACAAAATTGATACTTAATATAGATGTATTTTGATGCGATAGATTTGTATCAGGACCACGCAAAATGAAGGTCTGTGTTCTCTGCCTATCCCTCGGGGTTACGAGTGTGAGTTATGTTGTTGTTAAATGTTGAATCATTTTAAAATGTCCTTCATCTTATCATCCACAAATGAAGGTTACCAAATTACTAAGAATTTGTGATAACTAAATTGATCCATGGATAATTAAAAACCAAACATCAGAATTTCATAAATGCATTGCTCCCTATAAAAAATGAGTGTACATATCTGCTTATACTCCAGTTGATCTTCCTTAAGACATGCGTCAAATTGCGTCTAACCTAACATAACTTAAATTCTACGAACCTGTCATACAAGCAGGGGTTCCCAACGATGGTCTCGAATACATTACTATCAAAGCTCCATATGTGGGTGTCATTGGCTTTGTGGAAGACCGGCTGGAAGGTGAGACTGGACCGAGTACAGACAGATCGCACCGCGCCGTCCTCGTATGATACCGTCAGATTCTGACCACTGGGACAGCATTTGGGAGCGACTGGTAGCTGCTTCTTTACTTCCTCGTCCTGCCACAAAATATATCTTAATTAAATAGTAGTTTGAACTGGTTTGATCCGGAATATTAAATGACAGATAATCAACGATACAGTAATACTATGTGATTTTTATTTACGCTGCTAAAAATGTAAAACGAATTAAGTGGTGTCATAAACTCCTCTTTTTTATACACAAAACTATGTAATTGAAGCAAAAAAGCACATAATAATTCAAAAGACGTAGTTGAATATAAACTGTCAGGCGCAAGTAACTTTTAAAAAGTTAATAGACTCAAGGTCCGATGAACTAAACAGTATGTCCAAGTAACTTAGACAACTACTCATGCCCATAACAGTGTAAGCAGAGACTATAGATTTTCGTTTGGCATGATGCAGTCCAATTTTTCTTGTTTGAAAAGATACATTGAAGGACAAAGTACATAGCTACAAAAATTGTTTTAGATATTATTAGTTAGAATCCTTTGCCGCGAATGACTTGCTTTCGTTACCAAGTACAGTGTCAAAATGAATCGTGAGGGGATATAAACGTCGACATTTTAGTAAAGCTAGTGTTGAGTCAATACACTGACTCATTGCCGAATTTTCTTCCTAACTGTTGTAACTTTTATAATCCTTCTGTTTGGAATAATATATTTTTAGAAATGATACATTTACAGTATGCAGTTACATTGTTCAAACGGATACAAATGAAGTATGCAATTTGAATACGTTTAAATTTAGAATACGACAAACATATATTTAACACGTGGACTATTCGAACATTACTTTTGAATACATTAAAAACTCTTTTGTCGAACAACCTTATTTTTAGTTATAATCTAAAATAAACAAAAAAAAAACAATAAAATAGCCATTTATTTACAATGCATGCTGAGTATGAATATCGAATACATTTTTATTCCCCAATGCGCGGTTAGACACGAAATGTAGTTGCTATTTTATTATAGTAGGTGCTTGTGATGACAGTAAAATTATTTTTATTGCATCTTTATTCTATATCTATATGTAAAAATGTTGTATGTTTATCTCCTATTCGTACATAAACAACGGGACAGATGTTGGTTAAATTTTATTAGAGTATTTAAAGCAATATTTAGTTTTTATTATTAGTTAGCCCTGAATTAAAGAAATTTATCAATCGGTGTCGCCAATAAAGTTCTTTCTTTTAGTTTTTAGTACGTACTCTCTAATTCTATCAAACGCACACCCACGTCATAAAGATTCCCATAAAACGAGTATTTAATGCGGGATGCGCGTTATCTGTGAAACATGACGATGCGCCTGCGACGGTAGCCTACTGTCAGAAGATAAGGGCACACCTACATGTCAGCTATATAAGGGTACGTTTACACGAACGAGTTTATCGACCTCAATTCAACAACGCCGTAATTGGTTCGAAATCTATGCGATTTCGTAAACGTTTCCTCATCATAATTATCAATTAAATTACCTTAAAGTTTGATGTAATGTTTAAACTACAATGAATACTAACAACCAAATAGAACTATATACAAATAATTATTACTCTAGTTTTTTTATATGAGAGAAGCTGTATATAACCTGTAAGCTGTTATATAACCTAATAGATAAAAAATTGTAAAAAAAAAGTAAAACTGCAATATTCATTCGATAAGAAAATTGACTCATAACACATCTAGAAGGATGGATGTTCTCCAGACCGGCTCGAAACTCGCTGAAATCTGTCATAGATGTAGAACATAGTCCGGAGGGCACATAGTCTACTGATTAAGTTTACTTTTTTTTAATTCCGAGCAGGCGGAGTCGCGGGCGTCAGTTACTATTGAGATAAATATTCGTATAGCGCCTTGAATAGGGACTGAAATCCTTGTGTGGGTCAAGAGAAAATATTTTACATTGTTAAATAATTTATGCATATACTAAAAGGTCAATATTTGCATCTGTAATAAAATCATGAAGAAGATAATTTATCTGTAACGTTTTTTTTTAATTTTCCTGTTTCTTTCCCGTAATAAATTTAAAGGCTTGTTCCACATCGAGTTACCACCCACATATTATTTACTAAGACCTATTTCCACGTTTTTCTCGGGTTATTTTTAATTTCAGCAGTCTGTATAAAATTTACTAATAGGTTTTTCTTGTCATCATTCCAGTCATCACTCTAGTTTTACGCTATGTATGTCGCATGACGGGATTCAAACGCTCGACCACATGATCGGTAATCCGTATCTTTAACTATTGTGCTATTGTTTCTTCTATATATCACTATATGTTGCCACTGAGGATCATGGAGTATACACTAAGTTAGAGGTAATCATTGCTTGTTTTTTATTGTTATGTCGCTTGCTTGTATACTTATAGTTGTAATTGTTGAATGTTATGGGACTGACATGTTCAAAAGAATGAAAGTCCCTAAAAAAAGGAAAAAAAAAAGTTAGGGGTGACTAAGGCCATAGTTAACCACGCTGGCCCAGTGCGTGTTGACTTCACACATATCTTTGAATTTCTTCAAAGGTATTTGCAGGTTACGTCATGTAGTTTTCCTTCACCGTAAAAACGTCGTATCAATGTATATATGTAAATTAAATATCGAAAAACACATTGGTACTTCCATATATAGTAGCTATTATTAAAACAAAGGATATCTGATCAATTTTAAGGCTTAATCCCTAGATTGAATTATACTTGGGTATCGTTTGCTAAAGGGGATTAAAGACTTATGGAAGATTATTCCATAAAACACGAATAACGTTTCAACGAATACTTAGCTTATTGATCGTTAAAATAGACACTTCAAGAATATGTTTAATATCTTGAAATGAAAATGAATATTTTCTTCTTCCTTATTTCCTTTAAAAAAACAAATAATATGTTTTAAGGAGGAAACAGTGGTAACCCACGGTTACAAACAATTTCATACCAAAATACTTAACTTCTTAGTAATAAACTGTAAACGAAATTAATAAGATTTTTTTATGTTAAGGTCACGTACGCCTATATTATGTATTTTGTACTTAACTATCTTCAGTAAAATTTAATCATCTATAAAAAAAAACAATTAACAAATACCAAAATTACGTAAAATTCTGTCCGTTTTAAAGTTTAAAAAAAGATAAAAGAAATAATGCAATAATCACAAGGACAGACAAAGATATATCAGTGGGTCCGCTTTTAGTCCGCTATCAGCTCGGGGCCAGATAAAATGCAAATAGATAATAACTATTGTCTATATACTGGTCGAAGATATCGAGTCCCAGATAAGGAACGTAAGGTAAATACGCACTCAACAAAGTAAGACAAGAGCGGAATTATAAAGTTTCAAGCTGTTATTTTATAAACAACGGTTTGCTTTGCTTTAAGTGTAACTAAGATTATTTAAATATAAATTAAAGACATTTTAAAAGGGAAATATTATTTCTGCCCATTTCTATACTAGCCGCGTCGGACCGGGTCGGCCGCGACTCCGTCCGCGTGAAATTAAAATTAGAACATAATTAGTAGCCTTTGTGTTCTTCCAGACTATGTTCAATATGTATACCAAATTTCATTGGGATTCTTTCAACCGTTTATGAGATACCTTTAAAGAACATTCACCCATCCATCTAAACATTCGCATTTATAATATTAGTAATATGTGAAATTATCGTGTCACAATGTTAGTTACTGTACTTCTCTGAAACGGCTCGACCGATTTTTATGAAATATTATATACATATTCAGTAAGTCACGGAATCGCTTACTTTCCTATTTATTTTTTAATCCCGTGCTGACGGATGAAAAAAATTGTGGAATGGAATCTCTCCACGTGCCAACTAAAACGTCGAGTACGTTGTGTTAAAATATTTGTCAAAATTCAATTCGATACCGTAGGCTGCGACCATGGCTCTTTCACTTCCGTCAAAGCGCTCAAGCTCGTGACAACCTTCAAGCGTTCAGGTATTTTACTGCATATTTATCGAGTGTAATACATGGTATATGCCTCACAGTTTGACAGTTCTTGTAAATGTAACCGTGAGATTCCACTAGCGTGACACTTTAGTATTAGCGATTATAATATTAAACAAGTCAGTATAGCAAAGTCGCGGTAATCGATATTCACATTTTATATTTAGTCCGATATTTTTGATTGTTTTAACATTACGGGCTTAACGAACAGGCAAACCCTAGCGAGTAATAAATGTATGAAACTCCTGGGGGTCTAACACGAATATTTGCGACTAGCACCTACGTATCGTCATCGTCAGTTTTGTATAAATTAGTATGACATTTTTAAAATAAAGTGCATAGAATGAACTACAGATTACAACGAAATAAAGTGCAAAAGTGTGCACGTATAGAATTCACAAGTTCGATTGAAAAAATATATGACATAAGTTGGAGATAAACAATGTCAATAAAGTTGTATTATAATTTAGTACTTGTAATATAATATTTATTCAAAATCCATTAACCAAAGTATTACGTCAGTTTATCGCGAATCGAGACATACAAATAAGTGTCTCGTATTGTTGTCTCCGTTTTTTTTAAAAAGAATATGAAGGATAACAATATGTTTCAAAACAAGTGCTACGACAGTCGAAACACACAGAGATACAGACGCACCGCAGTAGACATCCGTTTCTCGTTGTCACAACAAAATGATTTATTCATGACTGTGCAAACAATCGTGTATGTATGACATCAATGGCCACACAACTTGTATGGACAACATTTATCCCGTGGTCTGTTTTGCAAATTCTACAAACGAAAAAAAATGCATTATTTCCTGCCAGTACGAAAATAATCTTCTAGAAAAAATTGTTACAAGTACGACAGGGTTTTTATATTTTTTATCATTTATTTTATTCAACTTTTTTAAATATTCTTAAAATTGGTATTTAAAAAGTAAATAACTTATTTTATCCTTGCTGACCTTTTTTAATGCACGAATTTAATAAGATAAAGTTATTAAAACGTAAGGTTATCGTCATGACTTTATAATTTATTAATTTTACAAACTATAAAACATTCGACAAATAAACGTGCAACTC